TGCGCCATAATTTGGGATTAATAAATATGAGCGGAAGTAGTGGTGTGATTATGTAAATGGAGCCTGAAAATCGAAATAACTGCATTTGGAAAAGCCATTTTTACAATATTCACTTACCTAACAAAGCAGAGATCAATGTAAAAGCACAGAATGACCATCCCCGTAGACGTACCCAAAGTGGCTGCCCAGCAGCCACTACAGGAGGTTCACCAGCTCCCATTCCTGAAGCTTGACAAGGAATCTTTTGATCGCGAAAAAATTCAAACAACTATGTCTCCGGTAAGCGTAAATCAGTGCAGATTATAGAAAAGGAGAGTTTAGGAATGGCAGAGATGTCGCAGCAGAGGTGGTCATGCAATGAAAAAACAGTTGCTAGACATTCTTCTATGATGATTTCTGAACTCAGAACTCTTGACACTCGGAGGGATAGAGCCACTCCTCGCTCAGAGAAAAAGTGCATGATTGAGTTGCATTGCATACCACATGACTCATTGGGCCAAAACTTGCAAACAGCCAAAATGCACATCAGCTCCAGCAAGCACCCGAAAATGTGTATGCAACCCAGCTTTTATCGGTATGTTCCTTGCTCACACATATTCGGACTCGTATGCGAAAAATTAAGTGGTATTTTTTATTTTTTTCACAGAAATGCCACCGAAAGGTTCTAGCATAAGAATTGCAGCGGCGGAGCGGCCATCGCATGGAGGCGAGGTCATTCTTCTCTTCTACACTCGCAATCCTTGAAAGCCTAGACAAGTGTAAACGCTTATATGGTGCGATGACTGGCATGTTACTCCCCGCACTAGAATGTGCCTACCTGCATCGATGCAGCGCAGTGCACGCTGTATCAATTCCCGCAGTTTCGTCAGACTCGGCCTCGGCCAAAAAGTTTTTAACAAATGAGCTCTAAGATAGCAGATTTTGAAAAGCATTTGCGCGATCAGCCTAAAGCGACGGTGGTTCAGTGCTGCCGATAATGTCCTGCTCGGCCGTCCGAAATGTCGTGTGTCCAGAACACCAGCGATTGAAGAACTGCTTTATGGAGTGGAAGTCACAATAAGAATGATCATTACCCAAAAAGGGCAGTGAACTAAGCATAGTAAACAAACATTGAAAAATTACATCAACACATTTCTACACTACAGTAATGTTCATTGGCTTCCTCTCTTAATCGCGATTCGCGATCCGCGATACAGCCTAACTTATTCGACAATATAAGCAGAAGAAGACGTAGATACACTATGCATGCTTGTGCAAACGAGTATAGCCAAATCCCCGCTCTAGTGGTAATAGAAGTTGCGTTCAGGAAGGCGCGCCGGCTGCAATGCGCGTGCTGAAAGTATAGCCGGACTCTTAGGCCAAGTGCTGTCGAAAGACACAGAGCTATATACTGTAACGTATGAGTAAAATAATCATGTCTTGCAAGAACACATCTAGTGATTAAGGCACGTGCACCTAGCATGATAAGGTCGAAGTGTTCATGCGCTTCTGAGTGATCCTGCTTAAAGGCAGTGTCCGGACTAGGTTGGGGGTTTTGGGATGCCACTGTTGCGCAAAAGCAGCCGCCCTGCCGTACCTTCCAGCCCAGTCGCGGGCACATTTCGTGGGATCAGAAGGGAGAAAAGC